GCTGTCTGTTCCAGGTTTGCACAGCAGACAGACGCAGGGCAACTGAGCCGAAGTTTATTACTAGCACAAGGAGCAACCGTGAATGTGAAGCCCAACCTGCAGATCATCGCCGATGACGTCAAATGCACAGACGGAGCTGCCATCTCCGACTTGGAAGAAGAGCAGCTGTTTTATTTACAGACACGAGGGATCGATTCGCTGACACCACGAAGCGCTCTGGTTTTCTCTTTTGCAGCACAGGTATTACAATCTCTCTGCAACGACAGGCTACAGAAGAGACTGGAAGGCCTTGTCACATCATCGTTGGAATCTGACGGCGTCGTCAACCCGAATGTATCCGTAGGACTATAAAACCAAAGTCCCCACAACTTCATAGCCATATCGTTCTCCATGGATTCGCATTCTACAACACTGCCGTGGTTCCACTTCATTTTTGGCTCGACTGGCGGACTTTGGATACTGGCATGAATGTAAAGCTCGGAACTTTTACTCCGCATCCGATTGACCGAGTCGTGGCGCGCGAAGATCCTTCCTGAAGTGCGTTTCGATTCAGGCCTTGACCATGTTCGGTGATCGTCCGCCTCATCTTCACCGCTGGGTCAGCGAACAGATATTTGACTCTGCTGCTGCTGCTGAGCCTTGATACCTGATCTCCTCGTTTGCTAAATTTATCGACGCATCAGTTCCTGTGACAGTCATTGCTATTTATATCGGTGTTCTTTATGGAAGAGACAATAATATAAGCAAACAAGTTAATATTAGAACTAATTTTTTTTAAAGAACTGTTCGTGTATCATGGTCAAATTACCCCAATTATGTAAAAATTTGTAATATTTAATTGGATGCCATTATTAGAAATGATCATTTTGGACGGATTGAGGAATGAGAACCTCTGAATTGCACATGCAAGCGTGAAGTGTACGATCTGGAGTGTCTCCAGGTGTGTATTAACTGGTACAAAACATAGAGGTGGACAGATAATTTCATCCATCCATTGTGTGGATGAAGTGACGGTGTATTAGAGCCTGAGAATTCATTCATCATGGAGATGAAAGAACGGAGTTCCTTCGTCCCCCGGTGGCTTGGGTCCCTGTTCACACCGCCTGTGTGGCTGAACCGCCCTCGTGGCTGCTTCATCCCATCATTCATGACACGTCATGCTTTCCCTTCATAAAGTTTTTTTTAAAAATAAAATAAAAATAAAGCTTAGACTTGTTAAATGGATTTTGATTGTTTTTGTTATTTTAGGGTTTGTTGGCAAAACCAAGCTCTTTGTACCTTTGATTGAAGGCTGGGATTAGTATTTCATAGTCACCACTTTTAGAGGCGCTTGATACTTAGAGTATAAAATATGAGAGGTCATAAGTTTTTAATGTATTGAGTGGGTGAAATCAATAAGTTTTCTAAAGTTGAATTCATGCTTAAGAAAATCAATTCCAACGTGGTGGGAGGAAAAAATGAGATAGATTGATTTTTTTTCTTAATAGGATTCAAATAATGTTTTTTTAATTAAAAAAAAAATCTAGAATGTCCATATAAGAGAGGTGGTTTCTTAAATAAATCAATCAATTGCATTATAAGTTAATAAAATAGTGCTTTAAAACATGCAAATGTTATAAGTAGCCACTCTACTTGTTATTTTAAAATAATTTTTCCTTCCAATAGCTAGAGTTTTACCTACTATCAATAGCTTCTTTAAAGGAATGTATCTTATTTGTAAAGAATACATCCATTTTTATTTGATTTGTTGTATAGTTTTTTACCTTAAGAAGTTGTTAGACTTTTTTTCTTGTTTTGTTTTGTTTGTTTGTTTGTTTTTTTTTGTTTGTTTGTTTTTTTTTTTTTGCTTACTTCTTCGAGTAATTTTATCATAGATGGATATTCATGAGATGGGAAGAATTTTAAACCTCAAATTTAAAGCCAACATTTATTATGGATGAGTAAATTTTAGCCTGCTTCTTCACCCATGTCTATACAAAGGTCAAATTTGTATGGTTTGGGAAATACAAGTGCAACAAAAGAAAACAAAGATAACAGTAATATATGAAGTACTCCAATATCTAAAAGACCTAAAAATGAAATAAAATAAATCATAATTCTATCAAGGCAAAAATCAAACAGAAAGAAAAATCTTCAATACAAATCAGAAGAAATTTTAGAGTAAATAGCAATAAATTATTCAAATTTATTAAAAAAAATGTTAATAATATTTTTTTGAAAAACATGGATTGTAATATACTCGCAATAGTAGAAAACTATAGCTACACTTTTATGTCTTTTAAATTATTAGATTCTAAAAACCATGTTTTAGATTCTAATACAATTTTTAATTCTCACAAAGATTTAGCCAAGGTTTCATTACTCTATATAGTGTTTTTTTGTAAATATTTTTGACTTTTATTTTCTTTTATTATAAATGTATTGTACTTCTTGTCAAATGCTGCCAAAATTATTCTTCTTCAACCTCCAAAAATTCTCAAAATCTGAAATTTTGAATTCTACTTCAAATTTAAACAATTAATGCATGTTTGATGTGTAAGTCTTGCCCTTCCTTTAATTCATCACAATCTTAAAGTTTTTTTAATTTGCCCTCAACTTTGCAATTTTAATTTCTATTAACCTTATTTGTACTTGCAATACATGCATTTACAATGTCCATCACCTATTTCACCAATACATCTATCCATTTAAAAATAGCATTTTGTACTATATTAAAGTCCAAAAGGTCTTTTTACACATACACAAATAAAGGATTAGATGGAATTTAAATTTTTTTACATGGAAGCAAATAGTTACTTTATTCTTTAAATAGATTATACTTTTAAAGTCTTGCTAGATAGAATGCATCTTTGATTGTTTTGAACAATAAAAGATTATTTTTATACAAGTTCAAATATTTCTCATGTATCACACAACCCATCTTTGATTGTAAGTTGGCATGATGACATTGCTACTCTTGTTTCAACAAAAATTGTCTTTTTCAACAATGTTTTGTATACCAACTAATACTACAATTCCTTATATTTAAACAATGAAGACAATTATTAATATATCTTATATTGACCATGCTTCCCATGCCACAAATACTTGCATATTGATGATGTGTAGCATTACCATATACAAGCACCAATACATAACCATCACAAACAAATAAAGAAATGAATATTCTCCTCTCTCCTATAGTACTAGAATTTCTTAAAGCATGGAAAAATCATGAAAGATAGAAGAAAATTGAGAAAATGAACAATTAAAAACTATATTGGAGTTTACATGGGAGTGGAGAAGTTAAATAGAAGGATAGCGATTATAACGAAATTTGTCACAACCTGATCTATTTAAAATTAAAATGTAAAATTAAAATTATCCTTGCAACTGCTTCTATTGTTTTCTAGTGTCTCTAAAGGTTAACACTTCCAAAGGACAACTTTTGTTTAATAAGTAGGGACCCTTCACAAGGCCTTTGAACAACAGCCTTTTAAAATAGGCTTTCAGGTATTAAGTGCCCCTTAGTCATAACAAACCACAACATATAATACTCAAATGACACCATTATGAATGATTCCATATTTAATAAATCCTTGATAATCTATTTGTATGGAAAAACAGAAATATAATAAAACCTGTTCTCCATGCTTCTTGAATTCTACAGTATTCAAATTACAATCAATTATAATTTTATGTTTCTCAAGTTTAATATTATGTTTTATACATCATATCATTCTCAGTAACTATTTGCTTGGGTTTTGAATTGGTGTAGTCTTCTGACCAATGACAAAGGGTCCAAGTGTTTACACACTGTACATCAAAGGACAACACAGGACCAGTTGATACATGGGATGGAATTAGAGTGACCCACTAAACCTGCAGATTAATTATAAACCTTCCACCCATGAAGTCAACATATTCTTCACAGATCAGAGGACAGTATATCTTTACCCATCAATGATTAAAAGCTGCATATGATAACGATGAAAACATTCTTCTTGCCACATTTAATTAGATTTTTTAAAATGTGCAATCAGAAGGAAGAAAGAAAAACTATATGTATGTATAAATGAATTTGATACAAGTGAAGTATTTATTGTATGTGTACACACAAACAGACGCATATGAGTTTATCTAATGTACACATAGACTCAGAAAAGAAAAGAAACAAATATTTTTGATGAAATCTCATTATTTTGCAAAAAACGAGAAGGGAAAGGTATGTACTGGTGTAGTTTTTCCCCAAGTTAGGGGTTGGGGGAGCTATAGTTCAGTCTTTGTTGAATAATGAAACATTTTTGACTTCTTAACTCTTAAAATTAAAGTCCAACATCTGACGTTCATACCATAGTTTCCACATAATGAGGTACCATCAGTAGTTTATTAATATACAATATATATATATATATATATATATATATACATATTTTGCAACCAGTACCTAATAACCATCAACAGAGAACCCACAACTTGCAATTCACACTTGCAATATCCCACTTCTATCCTTGGTCAAACCTTGTGTCGTTACACAACTATTATTTATTTAATTATTTATTTATTCTCCTATTTCCCTCCCCCCATTTTAATTTTTTAATTTTTTTGTTGTGTACCCTATGGTCACGTTGTTTTTTAAAAAACCCTGTCTCATAGGAATCGATTCTCACTGAGGAATTCAAGAATGGTAGGTAATAGATAGCATTTTGGAATAGGCCCTGCCCCCTACTTCCATTGGAGGGAGACTCATATTTATATATGTATATATTTATGTATCTATATATAGAACAAGCAGCAAATACAGTGAAAATATAGCTATCAGGAAACTTCGGAGAACATACGTTGTCTCGGTTACACCAGACTAGAATCAGGTGCCCTCTCCAAATCCAATAGAGACACTGCCAGTGCTGAGCTGGCTCCTGCCTTCAAAGTCAGAGCAGCTTCCACCGCAGCGCAGAGTTCGATTCTCTTGACCAACTCATTACAGGCATGTTCGATTTCGCATTTAGCTACACTTCCTCCAGGTTCGTAAAAGTCACCGTTCACACGAAGTGTACGAATGAGTGAGTGATCCATTCCGCGCGCAGTCTCGTGTGAGCTTTCTCTCAGTTTCATCGGAGTTTCACGTTGGCGTCAGTCTCCGACCTGCGGAAGACCTTCATCAGTGTGGTAATGGAAAAAGACTTGGCCTCTTAATGGCTAACGGCAGAGTGGTAGCATCTTCCCTCTGAATCGGCTCGCAGGCTGAAAACGGGGAACAATACCGGATATCATCCTTGGTGCAGACAAACGAGATTTGGGAGGGTTGTGGGAGGGAGCTTTCTCGCAGATTCTTAGATTGGAGCTTGTGTGAGAGCAGAGCAGCGCAGAGCAGAGCAGAGGAGAGCAGAGGATTCTGTTAGCGGTAAGGCTGCTTTGCCGATTTTCGAGTGGTTTCGTGTGAGCCGTGGGAGGTTTTTCTGGTACGTCTCGTATTTTATTTAGTGATATTTTTGGCTGTTCGTGGTGTAGTGGATACGAGGGTTGAGGCTTTGAAAGAGGAACGGAGATGTTGTGTGTGTGTGTGTGTGTGTGTGTATGTGTTTATTTGTTTATAATTCTAGTTATTTAAACGGCTGTTTGAGTTTCTATTGCGCACATCTGTCGTTTGATTCTTATAGTAGATGACCTTAGCTACCTCTTTCGTATGTCCGATTTTTTCGGCTTAAATTTCGAACGCATAGTATATTAGCTTATCGCTGCACTTTGCTTGGGCTTACAGACAAGGATGAGAGGCTTTGTGTAGCATAAGACATGGTGAATTATTGTAATCGCTTATACCGAATGCTCCCTCGCTTGGAATCTCGTTTCTCAGATTTTGTATCCTTAGCGGCAGCTTTTGTCCTTTTGTGGTGCTGAGAGTTTGTGTAATCTTTCGTGTTTGTTAAATCTCTTTTGTGTAGTTTCGAGGATTAATGTTTATATAGATTTTTACTTAGTCGAGGTGAAGGTCTCGGATGTCCATTCAGGCTACAAACCAGTCGGTTTTTGAAGTTGAAGTTGACACACATAGAATTCGCAGCAGGGGTTTTAATTTATTTTCTTTTCTTTTAATTTAGTTTTAACCTGCGAATGTGTGAGGGTGGTCGTATTCAAGCGGTAAAGGTACGGAATGACTGGTTTGGAAGACCATGGACTTGAGTTTCATGTTTGTCAGGTGTACGTGTTTGGTCGAGTATAGTATCTAATTTGAATGTTTGAATGCAGACACTTAACTCATAACTGGCAAAAATCAACCTCGAAAAGCCGAAGTTATTCCGAAGTCGGATGGTGGTCGGATACGAATCATTAATAGGACTACATGTACTTGGGACAAGGGTCAGAGAAATTGCAGCGTCATCCTCTTACGGAGATCGCGAATTAGTAGTATAGATTCTATTTAAAAATCGTAAATTTTTTATGGACCCTCAATAGGTTGATGTACTCACGGATGACGTAGAGATTATGTGTGGGATGTCGCTCACTTGAAGGTCCACAAGCTATTTCAAATGCTGTCATCACGTTGGAGCCTTTTGAAATGCATTTTCTCTTCTATGGTCGTTTGGTTGGAACGTAGAGTTTGGTCAGAGTTAGGTTAGGTAAATGTTCCTTCTTGTTGATGCAGAAGGATCCTCATAGTCTTCCCTGTACTTAATCATCTTTAGAGTTTTGGATTCAATACGAGATCACTATGGCAACTACATCTCGGTTACATTCTGGATCTCAACCACCAGAGATCGATATTCGTCAAATTATTTCAGAGGCTCAGACTCGATGGTTACGGCCTCTTGAGGTATGCGAGATCCTACAAAATTACGCCAATTATGGATTCAAACTCAACCCCGTTCCCCCAGTCCGTCCCATTAGCGGCTCCATGTTTCTGTTTGATAGGAAGACTCTAAGATACTTCCGTAAAGATGGTCACAATTGGAGAAAGAAGAAAGACGGAAAGACTGTGCGGGAGGCACACGAGCGCCTAAAGATTGGCAGTGTGGATATGTTACATTGCTATTATGCGCACGGTGAGGATAATCCATGTTTCCAGCGAAGGTGTTATTGGATGCTTACGCCTACACTGGAGCATATTGTGCTTGTTCACTACAGGGAAGTTACAGAAGGAGGCAGATTCTCCATGAGTGATTCACAACACAGCGTTCCAGCTGTTCATGCGGCTAGCCCTCCCGAGGTGACACATCCAGTCACATCCCCGGACTCGCTCCAGGAAGATGGGGATTTGTTTGAGCCAGAAGATGTTGAGGATTTCAAAGGTGGTCTACAAAGCACGCTGCTCGATCAGATTTCTCCTGGGGCGCAAGGTGATACAGACTTGTTGCGTACGTCACATCTAAATGTTTGGCCAGGGTCAGAATTGAGAGCTGAATATCCTCCTAATTGGTATGGTTCTTCTTCTGGTGGAGGTGGGGACTCAACCCTAGCACGGCTAAGCGGACTCCTGGATTCTCCCACGGAATTGACGCCAAAACCAGGAGAGTACCCTCCTCAGCTCTCTAACCTGCAGCAGTTTGAATCTAATGAATTGTCTTCAAGAAATGCACAAATGTATGTGCAGCAGGAATTGTTCTCGTCGAACAATCACTATTCTGGTGGCAATTCAGTGCCTGCCAATTATTCCGAGAGTCTTGGTAAACCATCAAACATGTATGGCTCCGAAGATTTCGGAAGTGTTCAGCGTCAAGAAAATATAGCGGCTGCTATGGTCTCAGCTGGGTGGGGTCAAGAACCGGAAAGTGTTCCAAGTAGTAATGCAGGATTCAGTCAAGGAGCACCATCTGTGTCCCAGAGTGGTGCTGCGCTTGATGCATCGCAGAGGACCGGGATGTCCCAACCTCCGCCACCTGTTTATGTGAAACAAGAAAGTATGAGTTCCTGGGCTGCAACACTGACGCAGGTGACTACTCCAGGTACTCATCAGAAATTGATGGAGTCTCTTATGTCCAGTAATAGGATGGATGTGAGTGATTCTCTCGGCGTACAGGATATTCGATTCCAGCAAACTCCCCCACCGAAGGATATTCTGGAAGCATTTGATCCCAGGGGTCTCAGTCGGGAACCTCAGGCACAGGTGGAAGCCAGTTTAAATAACGTTGCTGAAGGGAAAGCCGGGAAAGAAGCATTCAGTCTGTACCAGAAGCGGGTACTTTCCACAAGGTCTGATTCATTACCTATTGAACTCATCCTTGACAGCATTGCATCTCAGGAGAAAGCATCAAACAACGAAGATTTACGAAAGCAGGAAAGTTTTGGACGTTGTTTTAGCTATCTCAGCGACTTTTCAAATTTGTTAAGCCCCAGTACATTTCCACTCGGCTGGTCCAGCACGCCAACTGTTGGGGATCAGAGAGCGGGTATTGATTTTTTCAATGTTTCTAGACAAGAGGACACGGGTACAGGCACTTCTATTACGTCAGACCTGCGATTCACCATTACCGACTTCTCCCCCGAATGGGCGTATGCATCTGAAGGTGTGAAAGTTCTGGTGACAGGCGTCTTTTTGGGGAGCTATACGAATGCTCGTAATTTTAAATGGTGCTGCATGTTTGGAGACATTGAGGTTCCTGCAGAAGTCATAGGGACAGGGGTTCTTAGGTGCAAGGCTCCCTCTCTTCCTGCCGGTAAAGTTTCCTTATATGTTACTTGTGGTGATCGTCAAGCGCACAGTGAAATCCGCTGTTTTGAGTATCGTAGTGGTGTTGGTAGAATATTCCCTGACACTAAAGCAGAGCTTCAAATAACAGATGAGAGGTTGCTGAAGGTTCGGCTCTCACGCTTATTGCTTTCAGACTCCGATTCTCATGCTGGTGAAATTATTGATTTTAGTGGCAATTTGGACTCTATTTCCTTACTCCACGGCGATGATGACTGGCTAGAGCTGGAGAATCTAGCCAAGACTTCTGATCTCTCTCAAGACAGCAGCTTTCTGGAGCGCCTGCTTCAGACGCTGTTGAAAGTCCGCATGCAGAAGTGGCTGTTCTGCAAGGTTCAAGAGGAAGGTAAAGGTGTCTCTGTTCTTGACGCACATGGACTGGGAGTGGTTCACATGGCTGCGGCTTTGGGTTATGATTGGGTAATTACACCGATGGTAACTGCTGGTGTACCTATAAACTTCCGGGATGCACAAGGGTGGACTGCTCTACATTGGGCTGCTTTCTTTGGCAAGGAGCAAGTGGTGATTGCTCTCTTGGGACACGGTGCAGATCCAGGAGCGGTGACAGACCCCACACCTAAGTGCCCGGCTGGTCAAACTCCAGCAGACCTTGCGTCCATGAAAGGACATGCGGGTATTGGTGGTTTCCTGGCCGAGTGGAGTCTAACACGCCGTCTTTCCCACATGACACTTTCAGAGAACCTTGATGACCTCGCCATGTCTAATGTCGCTGCTGAAGCTGCAGTTGCAAAATTGTCCAGACGTGAAAGTGTGAAATTAAGTATAAGCGGAGCCGATGATCCAGTTTCTGTCCACGAATCATTGCAAGCTGTTCGGAATGCTGCTCGAGCAGCTGCCTTAATACAAGCGGCGTTTCGACAGTATTCTTTCCGGAAGAGGGAGGAGGATGACTTGGCATCAATAAGGTTAGATGAGTATGGAATGACTGAGAGTCAAATGCAGGCCTTGCTGACAGCTCGTGCAGCTCAAAGAATACAGAGGGCGTACCGAGGCCATCAGGAGAAGAAGCAACAACTGGCAGCCAGTCGCATACAGCAGAAGTTCAGGAGCTGGAAGGTGCGAAGAGACTACCTCAAATTCCGGCAGCGAGTAGTGAGGATACAGGCTCAAGTACGTGGAAACCTCGTACGGAAGCGTTTCAAGAAACTATTGTGGTCGGTGGGAGTTTTAGAAAAGTTGGTTCTGCGGTGGAAACGAAAAAGGTTAGGGCTTCGAGGCTTTAAGAGTGGGGATTATGACGTCGATGGCAAAGAGGACGACGAAGAATTTTTGAAAGAGGGAAGAAAGCAAGCGATTGTGGCTCTTGAAAAATCAGTCACGACAGTCCAGACAATGGTGCGCTCTAATGAAGCCCGAGCGCAGTATCGACGCCTACGAGAAGGATCCTTGAGGTCCGAGTTACTTGGGCAGTTCCTTTCAGTATCTCCACGGGGATCGTTTACCAGCGCTAATACGCAGTACGAGTATTCGCATTTGCAGCAGACATATGTGGAGCAGAATGGAGATTCGCAAATGCAGCAGATATATCTGGAGACTTCAGATCAACTCATGAATTTTGGTGCTTAGTGGTCGCTACAAATGGAGGTTCTTCATGGATTTGACAAAGCATTCGCGTTGAGGATTTTTGAGAACCGCTGGTTCTTGGGGATGGTTGAAAAGAGGTGAGCATTTATACAGTATGTTTTTATGTAGTATTTTTTCACAGCCCCCTTTTGATTGGTTGGTTTCTCGAGCCTCCAGAGTATTCTGTGTTTACTTGTGGATTTCTGCGCAACGCTGTGGTGGATGAGTCAGCTCTGTGCTTGGATGTTCATGGTGTAAGGGGAATGGGTTAGTGCTACGGTGTACATTGTTCCAATGCTCACTCGATCTTTTTCAATTTTCACCTAAAACGCATTAATTGTATCCTAAAAAGCACCGATAGTTTTTTTTTTTTTTTTTTTTTTTTTTTGACGCCGTCTTTGATTCTATATCATTTATGGAATTTTGTACTTGCGCTTGTTTCGATGAGGAAAGGTGCTGCTAGTTTGGAGTGATCATTAATACTGATGTTGTTGAAGGTGCAGCGGAAGCTCTTGGACCTGATGTTTGCAAGGTGTTTTCAAGATCCTCAAGTGAACCATGTAAATGTACAAAAATGAACTTCGGATAAGAAAATGGATAAACGCTTGTTCGGATGCAAAATATGTTTGCATACGACTGTGATGGAGCATTAAGAGCAGTGTCTATTCTGTAGATGTCTGGCTAGGTGCCACTTGTGCCATGACACTGCACACACCTTATTCGCTGATTACTTTTGCGTTAATCTTAGAAACGCATTTGTCATTCACTGTTTTGAATATGTACATGCATAAAACTCTTCTTGGGTACATTTTCTTAAAATGGCTATATACTTCTGATTATATTTTTGAGAATCGGATGATGAGAAACAAAATAAAAGTAATGAATTATGTATATATATATATATATATATATATGTATATATATATTGATAATAAACGTTGAATAAGAGGATATAGTTTAATAAATCTTGTGTTGATGAGAGCTTTGATTTTTGAATCTGAGGGATTGAAGGTTTTAATTAAAATGTAGAATAGAAGAAAATATGAATGTTATGCTGTTTTAAATTTTAAAAAACGTTGTAGTACCTACACAATATTTTTTAATATTAATTGTCAAATATCAAATATATTAATAAAAAAAATCTGTATTTTCTTCATTTTTTTATTTTATATTACAGATACTAAAAAATAACATAGTAAATTAACTTTTTAAAAACTTCTTTGAGTCTATAATATAAATATTGGAATCTTTGAATGTAATAAAAGCTGTGAACCTCCTTCAAATATCATTCTACGCAAGGTTGCTGAAGAATGAATGTTGAATTATCCATGTTATTTAATTCAATAAAAATTGAAGAAATAATTGGTGGCAGAACTTAAAATAAGATCCTAAGTCCAAATGGCGTTGGAATTGAGTTTATCCAATTTTTTTGACACATTCTAGAAAATAATTAAAGTGATCAATGATCAATCCATCTCAATGATCAACCCAGTATTATCAGACGATTAATTTTTTCAAGACATTGTCAAAGGACTTAATAATTCAGAATGCAGTCTACCATAATAACCTTTATGGTATTAACATCCTTGAAAGCTCTAATAAAAAAATCATATGTTAATAAGCAAATGATTCCACCATCACTATTAAATGAAAAGAAGACTATATTTTCCCTTTGGTGCAAATAATCAAACTCAGCTTTAGTTTGGGCCTTGAAATAAATTAGGCCAAATTAACTACTTATTAGAAATTTAAAGAATCTAATAAATCAACATAGACAAATCAATTTGGATAGGCATGAGCATTTCCTACAAATATAAAGGTGTTCTAAGGTAATCCTTCTAGTCTTTTTTTAAGTACTCACAACATGTATTAATTCTTAATTAATTTAATGGCAAACAAACTTGATTATTAGTCTTCTACTAAAATCAATGTGGTAGGTAGAGAAATTATAGTAAAAAATATTCTTCTTTCATTAATATATTTCTTTTAGCTATATGGGCTAGATCTTTAAAGGCTATATTTAAAATTATATCTATGTTTAGCAACTTTTTGCAGAGAAATACATTCTTCTCAAGAAGATCTAAGTTGGCCTTATTGATTGTTTATAAGGATTGTAATAATAGAAATCTAGATATAATTGATTCAAATGAAGTAATAAAGTACTTTTGTGCAAATAATTTGTTTGTGCAATGGATGTTCATATTCACTAGTATATTTATTTGGAAAAGTGGGTACAAATAAAATGGGGTAGAAATAAGTAATGGTAGATAAATTGATAAATATCTTATTGGTAAGTTTTTTAGAATTTTTATAGACTTTAAAAGTGTTTATAAGAATTGGTAATTCAAAAACTTCGCAACATATTGCACATGTTTACAAATTGAATTATAAGTTGGCCATGTGGCATATATATTAAAAACTTGCCTTGTAAGTTAGACACATGTTGAGCAAGTTGGACATATGTTTCATGACCTATACAATGTTGCCACATAGTTTTTTGATAGATAGTATATATGGACGCAAGAATAAGGACTTTCTTACTCTTATCAAAATATTTTTTGTGTTCTAGTCATACTTCAAGATTCTCTAGTCTCTTTATATTTAAAAAAAGTCATTATGATTTTTATTTTATATTTATCTTTGATTTGTCTACTTTCTCTCTTTAAGTGATATACGAGTACTAATGTTTTTAGAGTTTTATTGTAATTTATGTCCTTGACAATATGAGCCTTTTAACTAGGTCAATCTAATATTCAATTATTTTTTAGATTTGATATAATGAATGCTAAACCAACTTTCTTTACGCATTGGCTATTGTACTTTGCATGGTCATTCATTCTTAGTCACAAGTAGAATCTTGGAACTAAAACTTAGAGAAAAATTGATAAAAGATAGGCACAAATGTAAAACTTTCTTTCGGTCAATCTTCTAAATTTGTTCTATGATATTTGGAATTTTTTATAGTGAGATCTATAATTTTTATTAATTAACTTTTATATAGACTTACATCAAGCAATAACCTTATGTTGAAAAGATATTGAACAAGACAAAAATCTTTTTAAAGAGCCAACAACTCTTGTCTTGAGAAAAAACCAGATCCAAATATCAAATTCCACTCAACAATAATTACATTTGGAATTCTCTACATATTTATTTTTTTAGATCTTAGAAATCATTACTTCATAGTAATAATTTTCTACCAAAATTACAAGATGGAATTAGGTTATATACCTTTCAGAGAACTCAACTACTAGTAGTGGTATTCCAACTTCTCATTGAATATAAAGAAGTTGGAGAAGACAAATGGTTTTTCTTGCCTCAAACAATAAGAAGCAAAATTTTCCAATTTGGCATTCAATCTAAAATTTTACACTTTGATGGAAAACTTTCATTAGATCAAGAAAGCCAAAGCATTAAAAAAAAAAAAAAAAAAAAAAGAAAAAAAAACTAACAAAAAAAGAATAATTTGGCATTGTTTTATTTTATGGCTCAATTAGTGAATTGAATTTTGACTCTCAATCATATTCTTGGATTATGGATAAAGAATTTTTGACATACTGTATTAAAATTAGCTATAAGTAATTTTAAAAGAATGCATTCTCTGCAAACTTAGTGATTCACAAATAGAGTTTAATATTAAATTATTATTTTTAATTGGAATAATGTTTGGTTGAATCTTTGTTCTTAAAAAGAGGAAATTTTTATTTAGTTCATATGATGCAAAAGCATGGGAGTTAACACTCATAGAAGAAAAATTAGGCTTATTATTGACATCCATTTTGATTAAGATCACTTCCAAAAGTTTTATAATGTGGTGTGATCATATGCAAAAGTGTACATGAATTGGCAATCATTGCAACTCTTTCATCTTAAAACTCTTATCTCTATCCTTTAGGTATCCTTTAGGTATTAGAAGTTTAGTTTAGTGTACATTTTTCCCTATTTTATTAAAAAATTGGATAAATCTTATTTTTGTATCAAAAAACAAATACTTTAAAATAAAAATAAATAAATAAAATTGCAAGCTGTAAATTAAATAAGATTAAAATAATACTTATATATATACACATTTACATACATATACCAATTCTATATATCAAATTGATTTTTAAAGTAAGATTTGATTTTGAAATCCACATGCTTTATAGGAGTAAATATCCTTCTTTGTGATACAAGCTACTCTTCTAATAAATTCTATGAATGAATAATGTGTTACAATTAGCACTAAGATTTGACAACTATCTATATAATTTTTTTTCATAAGTTCTTTAAACTTATTTTGAAATATTCATGCATAAATATAACAATTCTTAACTGCAATGTATTTATTGTTTTTATTATCACTTGATTCAGTCACATGAAAACAAACTTTTGTTCTTGCAAATAAATGAAAATAAGCTAAATTTTTATCTATATTTACTGTATACAATGCAAGAAGCTTCAACTTGGATTTTTTTCTTTTACTTCAAAATTCAATAAAGATCTAAGAATCTATTGTCTTAAAAATCGTCTCTGAAATGTACACGGATAACACATCTTAAGCTTTCCATCTCTCAAAACTTTGTACTGACAATAGAAAAGAGCTAGCATTACGATGACCTCCACCGCCATAAACCTGAATCAGAAACCAAGAAGTTCAAATTAAAAACATGTAGCAGTGTTTGTATTTGATTAAAGAGAAAGAAAGGGCGAGAGAAGCTCTGTAACCCAATTTTAACGGTTGCTCCATGGCAAAATATAAAATCATAGCTTGAAGACTTAACATCCAACTCCATAAAGAGATTATATATCTATCCACAAAAAAGCATCATACATGCATGTATCAAAACTGGCTGTAATTTACAGGTGGCAAGAGGCGAGTCCAACTACATGACTTACCAAGTATCCCTTCTAAAGATTTCAGATGAGAACCTCCCTACAACACTTAGAAACATTACTAAACAACCTGACCTACAGAGACTATTGAAATGATAAGTTGGCTGGATCTCAAACAAGTACCATGAGCATACCTGAGATATTTCTGTGGTATCTTCAGTGCTTCCTAAGCTACGTAAGCTTATTTTGAACATAGAAGCATCGTTCATTGCTTCCTCCACATATACCACAGCTCCAATTGCCCTGTCGAGACATTGACTATTAGCACTGAGATGATAGGAAATCTAAATCCGGCAAGCTGGTGCAGTGCTGTTGAAAAATTCTGCTCTCTCATACCCCACAGACAATGGCATGATAACCAATCTCCTGAAAGCTGTTTCACTCCAACACATAAATGCTTGGTTCCTCTTAGCAATCGTGAGCGAAAACGGAGGAAGATAACTCTTACAAATAGTGCATCACATTTAACAGTAGATAGGAAATTCGAGAAATCATCCACCTACGGGACATGCGTTGTGACAGGACAACTTACCGGAGACCTTGGTCTCGACTTTTTGCTGCCAGCTGGTTACCCAGTTCGCTTCTGAGATTAGCGACCGCATCTGCTCGCACTGCCTAAGACACCACCCCCAGTACGGACCATGCCAGCAGCATGACCCAATGCATAAAGTCACAAATCACATCAACTCTGTTCAATGACAGTTCATCCAACAACCTGAGCTATCAATCTTTCCAATTTTCTGGAAGTTTTCGGCATATTCTGAATACTGACGAATTCCAGACGTAAATTTACAATGTAGTAGTCGCGCATCCAAGAAAAGCATGAACACCTTAAATTGTAAGAGTTGGGAGACTCACCAAACACTGACCAAACTTTCCTTGACCAAGAGATACTACAAAAGATCTATCTAACGTAAGGTCAATCAGCTTCTGTTTTTCCTGCAGGCTCACTTTTCCTCTTTTGATAAGGACTTCAGGATCCAACGCCAAAAGCTGTCAAAAAATTTAATTGAATTAATAAAATTTTGAAAAGGAAATAGAGTCAATGAGCCAAATCAAACACACTACTCAAAATTCCTTTAGTACACATATGCATGACGTTTTGAGAGTCATGTACGTGAACCACTTAACGCTTACAAAATATTCACTCTAAACAACAGTGAAGTAATGTACCTGGTGAAAAACCTCCCCATTTTTGACGGCATTATATTCAATCTTACAATCACTTAAGCCGCTGCTAAATTGCTTACTCTCTGGTAAAGCCCAAGTCCACAAATCTGCATCCTGAATGTACTTGAAGAGGGTTTCTAGATGTGAAGCATCATCATCTTGGAGGAAAGTTTGAAGTGAGGACTCTACTTGAAGTTTTTCAAGGAAGTAATCATATGCAATAGTAGCACCACTTCTCTTCATGTCAAGTAGTACTTGTAAGTTTGGAGGACCTGTTCCATTGGGTGGAAGTGTCTCAAGCGCAGTCTTGTGATGGTCTAAAACCACGACTCTGCTCTGCACCAGAATGCTTTCCGTCAAGGTTCAGATTTCGAAGCTCAAACTCTCTGAGCATTTAAACGTTGTTTCAGGCGTTCTTCAGCTTCCGATTGAATACAAACTCCAAAGGACAAATGAACTGGATGTTATCTTCAAAATAAGACCAATATTTGGTTTCTCTAAAACAAAACAATGGAGAAATAAGCATGCATACACTGCGATTAACTGCAGCACTTACTCTTTAGCCTTCTTTGCTAGCTCTACAGCAAATCCTTGTGGACCTGCGAAGTCCAGAAGATAAAAAGTCTCCACGTTTTTGGTAGAAATGTCTTCAACCCTGCTCACATGTCGCCACAAACCAGGAAGCCATTGCGAACACTACAATTTAATGTTCGATTTTAAAACCTCAAGTAATTAAGTCAAAATTCAAAAGTATGAGAAAAACGGTTCTGACTTCCACCTTAAACCTTAAACCCCCAAACCCTACAAACTGCTATGTTCTAGGGGCAGATGAGGAAGAACATTGTTGCTAAACTCATAAGTATAATAACTTGACTTCATCACCCAATTCTTAGGTTCATGGATTTACCTTAATGGCTCAAAGACAGTATTTGGAAGAAAGGAAACGGGTCGACCGATAGCTGAATGATAAAGGTGGGCAGCCAAAGCCGCAAAGATGCCATCAGGACATGGATAGTGGTAGAGCACCACATTTTTGGGTCGTATACTCACACCACCAACCTGGTCCATGGCTACTCCTCCTCCGCCCAGCTTCTCCCTACAGATGCTTTTCAGCGATCCACTTCTATGAATGGTGAAAGAGCGACTGCACAAGCAAAAACTCGCATAATTAACAGCTCAAAACACGCATACAAACTTTATGGAAGGCAACGCACAATCGACTCGCAGATCATTCCAAACCTAAGTCAACTTTTACATGTGATCCAGAAGCCAGTAAGATCACAAAGACCCACACCAGCTCCCCAAATCATCTTCTTTAAATCCACAGCATTCAAATCCTTCCTCCTTCTTCCTTCTTTTCTGATTTCTCTTTTTTCTCTTTTTTGTTTCGTTTATTAAAGAACCGTCTGCACATATCATGGGCTATTCAACGCGGTAGGGTAGGGGTACAGAGAAATCAGAGCAGGCTATGAAATGAAGGCCAAGGAAAAGGGGTGAAGTACCTCGTGAAAAGCGTGGCGAGCAACGACGAGCGTGCGAATGCAAACGCCATTGTTGGGTGCCAGAGATGGAGGCCCTGCAACAACGTGAGGGCTTGCAGCAAGAAACTAACCCCCATGTTTTGATGAATGTTTGTAATAGCGTTCATCCAAATCAACCTTTGGATTCGCTAAAACTTATTTTTGTGGCTGCTTATGTAGTAGCAATAACAGTGTTTAGCCCAAGAAAAGATATTCAAATATAAACAATGGGGAATGTTAAATAGACCCAGGTTTTTACTAAATTGGTTTACCCATGATGAAGAATACGGTAATCACGATGTGGTTGGTTTTTATTGGTTTCAGATCTAGTAGTAAATGTCATTTTTTTTCTTTTTGCATGGTTAGGATGGGTGGATTAATTTAGTAAAAGCCTCAGTCTATTTACCATTCCCCAAAACAATACAACATATCTAGTCATAAAAATAGGGCATAAGATTTTGTCAAACTATGATGCATGTAGTCTCATTGTCTCTGAAATTTGAATCATATATCCTGTTTTTAGCAAGAAACACCTTTAATGTACAAAATGTAGTATTTAGTGTATGGTATCAATAAGATTTTTTTTAAATACATATATATATATATGCTAGTGAGTTTCCTTTGTCAAAATGTTATCTTATAAACAAAACCTTGTAATTGATCTATATTTTGACCGGCTAAATTTATAAGTTGTTTTACAAAAGCGTAATGGAAGGACTTTACTTATTTTACCAATAGTAATGAGGTGAAATGAAAGAAGGCTATTAAGAGTAAATCATTGCTTTAATGTAGTTTAATTATAGGATAGTGGAGGAAAAATTGTATCTTTAGAAGTTTGAATAATAAAAAGTACATATTATTACTTTAATAGTTTCATACAATATAATATTGTAATGTTTAATTTATGAGAAAATAAAAGATGCAATATAAAATAGTCAGCCAAGAAGACTCCTTTATATTACAAATTGTGTAAAAAAAATCTAAAAAATTGGAATATATACAGTAGAATAAATAAATAAGTAAATAATTGTAAGCATGATGCTAGTTTGATTGCAACAAAAATTGCAAAATGTAATGTTACCAATCAAAATGATATATATATATATCAATAAATCTTCTATATAATAAAATAGGTACAAAAAAAGATGTATAACCAAAGAGCATTTATTTTAGAAAATTTACAATTAAAAATATGTTTCTAAATTTAAGATATTTTTGGAATCCTAAACTTCTTTAGGTAAATTATTTCTTTTATTTCAAAAATATATTTTTGAAAATTCCTTAAATAGAAAATTTCTGAATAAATTACTTGTAATCTTAAATTCAACTCAAAACAAACTTCACTTAAAGTAAGTGTGTTTTGTGACTAAAAAAGGCTTGTTGATTTTATTCTTGATCTAATATATTTCAAAGACACATATATATATATATATATATATATATATATGATGATGAATACATTATAAAGCTAAGAACTTGTTGAAAAATAAGATAATTATTTATAATATAATAAAAATAAAAATAAAAATATCAATTTTTATTTTAAAAAAAACTTTATAATATAAGAATTTCTTAGAATATCTATTATCAAACTAAAATTGAAATAAGTACAATAAAAGATAGACCTATATGATATTAAAAAATCATAACTTAAAACATGGTTATTTTTTATATATTAAATCATTAAATTATTGTAGAATATAAATTAATTTTAAAATTATTTATTTTTGAAAAATATAAGTAATCATAATCAACAACGTATATTTTATGTCATATAATATATTTTAATTTTAGTAATATTATAGTATATATTAATACATATATTACAAATAATTTTAATATATATTATTTATTTATTTTTAATACATATATATATAATATAATATAATTACCGAAATATAAATAAATTTTAAATAAAATATAAATTTATTTATGAATGTTTTATATTGGGAACCATTAAGTGCACACTCGCTATTTATTGTGGAGAATTTTATATAGAGACTCTTTTGATGTAAATCTATGCTAAAATATTTTACTGTAAATAAGAGTTTTATTGTGTGTATGTAAAGGGTGAATGGTATGGAAGGCACCTACTTAGCAATCCTCTTTATATTCATGATGGATATATTATTGAATTAAAACTTAAAAATATCTATATGTAAGCATATATATATATATATATATATATATATATTCATAATTATTTTTCTTTTTTGTAAAAAATATATCATAATTAATTGAAGAATCATGTCAACTTTGTATTAATGAAAGATTAAACCAACATTCATATATATATATATATATATATATACACATACATGTCTAATGAATTAGAAAATATATTTATAATGGGATCTATTATGATTTTTACCTCACAATGTACCAAATAATTGAAACACACATTAAACAGTTTTTACAAAAACACTACCTATCTATAAATATATGAAGAGCGAGAGAGATGTATGTATATCTATCTAAACACAGTCATAAATTATTTAAATCGTTTACTATTAGTAAACGGTAGAGTGTGAACTTGTCTTTTTTATATATGAAACACACTTAATTACTCGAAATCTTGGTAACAAACTTCAAGGGCTCCAATATCTCCAATCATGAATGCTGAAGCCTTCAAATTCTGGAAGTTGGGTTAATCTGGATGCAGCAATGTTTGTCTAGTTTAACTGTTTCAAACAAACTTCTAAGGACTCAAATAGAAAAAATGTATAAATTAACTTATAACCCAGTTCAGTATTACCTATGAGATGACCTAAGTCATGCAAACTACTACACACTGATCATTTGCGGCTGACAAGGCCTAATATTCTACAATTCTTCATTGATTGGGTGCCAACAGATGCGTTCAGAGAGGCCTCTTTACAGTACAAAATAGAACATACTGGTGATAGTGTGATACCCAAACTGGCGTTGATTGTGCATGGGACTCCCAACATGTACAGCTTTCAAGAAGAGTATGAAGATACAGTTCGTAGGATCAAAAGCTTCATAACTTCATAAATAGCAGAAGTGTGTTCACACTGAATCCAATCAGTTTGCTTCAACTAGATTCGATTCAACAAAAAACAGCCAAAGCCGAGTTTCCATGACATTGGCAGCACGGTTATTTCACAGCCTGGAATGTAGGGACTACCCTCACGAAACGCAACAAGCTGGAAAGAAGAAGATGAAGTTTGTTCAAATCAAGTAACTAAGGACCAATTAATGAAGAGGAAGGCAATGCACTCGACTGCCTTCGTGTCATCTAAAACTTTCCATGCCAGGGCTTGTTCGTAGGTTACGGTGCGACCTGTGCTGGACATGCGCACTCCTGCTGGAAGGGAGCAATAACCCTGTTCCAAAAGAAAAAACATCAGCAATGAGAGAAGCTAAATCACTAGTAGGAAAAGAAAGCAGACCGAGGAGGGTGTCGATCTTCTATTCATAACAACAAATTAATGGTTAAGGCAGAGAATGAGAAATACCTGTTGCAAAACTTGAGTAAACGTAGCATATGACAACTTGCGGTCGTTCTCATTCAGAGTCTTCTCCCAATTCAGATTCTGCAGAGAGCTTGTAGCGGTTTCGAACATCTCAAGGCCTGATCGATTGGCAAACACGAACTCTGGCATTCCCTGTGAAAAAGCACAATGTCCCTTCGTCAACAAGCCCGCTAATCATTCATGGCAGAGAACTAGTTATGTAAGTTTTAAAATGGTAACTACAAGAAGGCTTTGAAGAGGTAAGCCTCTATTTGCTTAACAGATAAAGCGACAAAATAAAAGTCTTTCCTTGATTTTTTATCTTTTTATCTTTTAATCTTCATTTCCTTAAGATTTACCTTCCACGCACAGCACACAATAGCATCTGTGTGATGCCAGAATGCCTTGAAAAGAGCTTCGTCACTTCCATTCTCTGGTCTCACCAGATCAATACCCAGGTGGAACCTAGACATAAAATACGTTACAATTAGCTGACGCCACCTGACAAGAAGCTAAAGACATACTTGGCAAAAACCCCATCCCCTAAAGAGTAAATACGATCCAGTACAGATGGTACAATGAAGTGAGAAATTGCAAACAAATAAGGTATTGATGGACTAAAGAAGCGGTATGCGTTTTCAAAAATCACCTGTAGCTGCTCAGAACATGGCATGCTAAGGAAAGTGCATCTGGATTACTAGGTGCTTGGCGAGGGGGAGCTGCTCCTCGAGAAGGAGCTAATGCCATTGCTACCCGTTGGACTGATGCCACTACAGTGCGCACATATTGTCGAGCCATAGCTGCAACAGTTTCACGTGTGTGCACCTCGTACGCAAACTGAAATGCAATCGTGAGAACAGACCGCATCTGGCCGGAGCTGCTATTCGATTTCACATCACCGTTCAGGCGCAAATCATTCCCTCCTTCTAGAGTAGAAGCTAAATCAAGCGTCCGATCAAGTCCAAATCCATCCTGCTCAACCAAGCACGCTTGTTAAAAACCACTAAGACGAACTGCCCCGCAACCTAAAGACGACCTTGAAACAGAAGATAAGGAAACCTGCACGAAACATATCTTCTAGAAATATTACCCCAGGGAGAAAAACGTACCACTACATTCGTGTCAATAGGACTAACGCAAAAGCCCGATGGAAGAAGAGGGATGCCATCAGCCAGAGCAACATCAACTGGAGCAAAGATCAATTGTGAACATGCCCCAAGTGCACTCTCGTCGATTCCGCTACAGAGCTAATTCCCACATCAATCACATGACATGTCAACTTAAGTAGTAACATAGCAATATCAAAATTGCGTGATTAAATTTGAAGATGATGAGATGAAAGAAAACTCAACCTGAAGGAGGAATATGTCACGGGAAAGAACCATGTGTTGCACTGAGCTGTGACCTTCCAGCTTCACAACCTCCAGTATCTATGCATCATAATAGAAACTGTAAAAGTGAGAGGGACCGTAATAAAATGGTCCAAATTGGGAATAATAACAAGAATAAAAATTACAGCAACCAACCTAGCTTACTCATGTACTGAATCATATCTGAGACTGCAGTTTATACACGTTCTTGTTCAACGATCTCCCATGTTTGTACCTCTCCACATTCTCCAGATTGGGCCAAAGGTAGTGGCAATTGGACGTGGGACACCCCACCACCTCGAGGAACATAGCCGTTGCCATTGCTCCGAAAAGATGCCATATCATCCATATCATAGTCCGCCCACTCTGACCGATGTTCTCTCAAGAACCTGATCAGTAGTGATGGTGGAACATTCTGCAAGACGTATCAAAACGATTACTGACTTCAGACCACTACGTTCACAGTAAAGTAGATATCAGCACTCCGCTTCACTCAAGTCAGGAAATGCAGATAACGAATAAATTTGATTCTAAACATCAGCAGACACAAGAGCATAACAACGAGTGATATGAGGGGTCCTACTTGCAATAACATGGAGGCTTTTGCACAGAGTATGCCGCCACCCAGAGAGTACAGCAACTTGTCTGATGCAATCTGTCCTTCCATAGATTTGGGGGTTGCATTGACCATCACACTAACGTCATCCAGACCATCGGTTACTGTAGTCTCCCAGCCATCATCTCCAAATCCATTGACAGCATCATTGAAGCCCCTGCACCAATGGGAGAAAACTCTTATTTCTACAGAAGCACCAGAGATCACCACAGTAATCTCAATGACCTCACCATTTCTAGTCAAAAGACAAAAAATTATCCTCTGAAGGCAGAACTCACTTGGTGAGTCGCTGGCCTAGTATACGGAGTACTGCTGGATGATGTCCATTCCGGGGAACTCCCTCGCCACTTTCTTCTGCAGCTAACCTTCTTAAGTGCCGTAATGCCTGCATCAACGATGTGGTCGAAGAAGAGATCAATGCAAAAGACATACACAACACTGCTCGAGTATCCAACGCCATTACAGAGAACAACATACAAAGAACTTATGCAGTGTAAACACTTGAAAGCAGCTCAAACGTACCCCAATTGTGGACTTCTGCGCGAGTACAGCTGGAGATTCATACAAAGGCCGCAGAACTTCTGGCACTCTCCAAGGCTGCGAATGCCATTCCATGAAACGCATCACATATTGTTCAGAACGCTACATTCTTCTCTTACCAAATAGGTTAAATCAAGTGGCTCCTTATCAATACCGTCCCCAAAAGTAATCAGAAAGGATAAGGAAACGATATACAAAATGCATCACAAGAGCTAAACTCACTTCCTTATCATAGTGATCTACGACGTGAATGATACAACCGCCTCCTTCACACGGCCGAATCAGATAACCACTTGAATACATCTCTCCTCTTACAAAGGATTGGACGGGCGGCATTGTGTGTCCACCCTGACCACCGGTTAGTGAACGCTCACATATCTGCACAGCAACATAGGTTTGTAGAAAAAAAAAAACAAAGATAAGGACGCACTTTACGTCCACATCCAAGAGAGCGGCTAGAAAGGAAGATAAAAGAAATAAAATAATTAGAATGAAAAATAAAAAAGAAAAAGAAAAAAACGTATCTGTTACTGATTCACAGATCTCTACTCGGCATTATCCAACATGATGAATCGTGAGGCTTACCACCAGGTTTCCATCCTCCAAAATTGTAGTGTATCTCAAAGTACAGTAATCCCGTGCAGGTGCTAAGGTTGTCGGTGCGTACATCTGAGATGAAATAAATTCAAATTTGATCATGTCAGGTACATTCAAGAGCAAAGGTGTGATCTCCACTCTTTAAAAAAAGTAATTTCACTGAAAGAAACCCGAAGGCTTAGTACCTGGGTGTATAATAATTCTATAGTCCCTCCATTCGCTGTGGAAAGGGCACCAAGGACTTCCATGCGTCGACAGTCTTGTAGCCAAGCTGGACGATCTTTGAGTACTTCTGTAACCTTACTAGCATCGAGGGCCACTAGGCCGCAAGCTCGAGCTGCTATACCAACGCAACCGTGGGATATAGCAATAATGCCAATGGCATCCGGACCAGGCTGCACAAAAATATTGGATGGTTAGTTTACATGGAATGGAACAATACACACTCCACTATCATAATACCAGCACAACACCCAATTCAGAGCTTAAAACTGTAACTTCAGAAGACTGCACTATCTACAGTATACTCAGATCTTTGTACGAGGTGATGTTCTGAATCACTCATCACTGTCTTGAAAAGACGACATACCTTCATACCAGGTAACTGAATCCAATCTACCGCCGTTCCAGTGGCCTTAGCCAGGAATTCAGTCAGTGTTTCCTCCGCAGTGGCTAACAATCTGCAAACGATCTCACAAGGTAACCAAACTAGAGTCACATGGGTAACCAAAACAACGAAGGAAATGATGAATTGAGTGATAACTTTTCCATTAACTAAGCGAACACACGCAAACATCTTAATGCAGGAAGTTGAAAATGGGCGAATCATTACAACTGTTAAACCCACTTATCACCGTTTCACTGAAACAGAAAAACAGACGCATCGCAAATTTCAGTTTTGTCTTAACCCACCCCGCAGGACTGGTATCGCGAGGGGAATGCTGAGGAGTGACACGATGCGGTAGACCACCAGTAACAGCAGAATCACAGCTAGTATCTGTGGAGGCTACACCAGCCTGCCCAGGCAATTTTACACAGATACCGCCTTGAGTAGAGCTCTCATCTCCACCATTGACTGCTCCTTCTATCTTCAAAGGACTCTGCAAATCTCATGCGTTGAGCCTAATCAGAAGTTGAATTCGAACAAGAATGCGCGCGGGCACACACACAAGTGTCCAATAAACCCAAAGTATTATTAGTTAGAACTCACATGAGATGGGAGACGATGTCTTCCGTCGGGGAAGGGAAGGTTGGGAATCTGCTGACGAAGGGCATGATTTTCAAGAGTAAGCTGCGAGGTATGTTTCGCTAGACGCTCGTTCTCTTCCATCAAAAGCTTATTCAAAGCTGTCAGCTTTGCATTAACACTGACCAGCCTTGTTGCTTCCTTGCGTTGCTTCTCCCGGCATCTGGAAAACACCCAGATGTTTCTCAATCACTTCTGACAGACTGAACAATGGGAGGACATCCATTGGCTGCATCATACCCCATTTGGATCGTGGTATTGAAGATGAAAAAATCGTACCGTCGATTCTGAAACCACACTTTTATCTGCTTGGGTTCGATATTTGCCAAAATGGGGCTCTCTTTGATCAGCTGGTGGCGCCGAACGGAGCTGGGCTTGGGGCACTCATGGTACACCCTCTCCAAGGCTTCCACTTGTTCATTGGTGTAGCGCACGTACTTCCCTGAGGCATCCATCGTTTGCTCCTTCCACGTTTCTAATTACAAACGGTCCGAATTGGCTTGGTTCAGAGCCTTAATTGCGGCCCACACAACGTCAACCATCACAATATGGCTACTTAAGAAGGATTATGACTTGTGAAGGCTGTTATAGCCGAGACTGTTTTCTTTTTATTTACCAAACGGGCTGTACGGAAAATAAATCAACAAATGATATGATTTTGAAGAAATGATATTCTACTTTTCACATTGCAAGAAGAGCCAAAAAAACATAAAGGTGCGTATCAAAATCACACGAAATTCTCAAACTCTTTCGCGGGCGTTTGACCTCCGACAAAGACTGAGGTCTAACTATGAAGTAACATTACGGGTACGTCACTCAGCCGAAACGATCACGGATGACGTGGAACAGCATTGGAGTTGGGACGAGTATGGAAATTATTAGATCTAAATGCTAGACTCAAGCCCTACGAGATTTAAATCTTGGAAACTAATGGGCACTCATCACAGCATTCTGGCCCAAGAGAAGTCATTACCTCGATCAGGTCAAAAATTACCTGGGAAGTTCAAATTTTCTGGACACTACGCAACCGCACGAGGCAGGAGAGAGATTCTAGAGGTGTGACCCATAGTTAGTATCCACCAACCAACCTGTCATGTGAAGTTCTGAGGGTAACAGCGGAGTCGACGTATCAGCAGACTCATCTGCAGCGGAACATCAGCTTCAAGTGTCTTCAGCAGCACATAATCATTGATTTGACACTCCTTGTACCACATATCAATTAGCAGATTCGCTACTCACGGAAACTTCACCCCTCCAAGCATGACATGTCCTGTACCTCATGTACTCTACACAGTAAGGACCTATCTTCCCTTCGTAGTTATGTTTCCCGTGTCGGCAGCTTGACTTCACACCAAGCGACCTCCTCTGCACCCAAATCCCCACGTTGATCCCAAAGAACCCGTGAAATTCTTTGAGACCCTTGCGAAATCTTGGACAGCCTCTCAAGCTCCCCCAAACTACTCAGAACCGTTACTGATTTGTTTCCTGTGCCGGCCGTCAACTAATTTCAGGTCGGTATGGACAGCAAATGTCCAACTCGCACAACAGAAACCCCAGAGGGTGCGACACACCCAACGTGCTACTCCCTGCTCAAGATAGAGTCTTCAAATCCCCCCACCAAGAATCATTCTTACAAAGCACACGAAAGCATACCCTCCTCCTCTTCCTCAGTCCTCGCCCTCTCAAGCTGCTGCTGCACTCTATCCGTATTCTTGTCAGCCCTCAAGCTTTTCCACATCTATGGCACAAGATGTACTGCACACAGGGCATCCCTATTCCTATACCAGCCAAGCATGTCTGGGTGCCGACACCCAACCTGGATCATTCACCTCTTGTCGCCCGAAATGCTACACAAGAGTGACGCCGACCTGACGCAACAGGAAAACCATCAGCACTGGACCCACCATAGCCATCACAGCATCACACTACGACCACGTCCACAACGCAAAACATCTCTTCGACTCTCAAAAACCACCGCAGCCACCATGCGCAACATCACACAACACTGCACCTCAATGCAAACTACCCACAACTCTTGGATTCTAATGATGACATACGAACCCCACCTCACTCCACCCCCATATCTACCGCCACTCCCCTTCCACCCAAACAATCATCACTCCAGCAGATCCCCGACATAGCGATCCGCCGCTTGCACAAATCTCACGCAACCATCAACCTTACAATAACCCCTGTTCCATCGCTACATACAACAAGACGACAACATCATCCCTCGCCTCCTTCGCCCCCACATCCACCTCTCCCTCTCCTACACCACCAATATCCACTCCTGTACGCAGTACTCCTCTCACTTCTGCTACGACATCCATGCCAGCTTGGTTCTTCCCTCCACTATGCTCTCTTTCTCTCTCTTACTCCCCCTCAACTCTCAAAATTTTACTGCCACACTGCACCATCGCCACCACGGTATCCACAACTACAGTACTCTCTCTCTGTCTCGCTCTCTCTCACCAAATCAGCGATGACATGGGGGGGGGGGGTGTGTTAGAGAGGAGGAGACTCGCACTCCATGGCAATCTACGAGGCAATGATGAGAGTGAAGGGTGATGTTGTTTTTACTACCGATGCCAAGAGGGACGGGGAGGGGGAATTGTAGGGAGTGTGAGTGTGTGAGTGACTGAGTGAGTGGTGGGAGAGCTGAGAAGTGGGTGTGTCCGAAAGGGAAGTGGATGGCGAGGGAGATACTGTAGCATGATGAAGGAATGAGAACCATGCGGAATGAATATAAATATAATGGAGCGGAGGAGGCGTAGATAGACGCGGAAACCCAGAGGAAAAAAAAAGTGGGTGGCGGCGCAACAGCAGGACAAAAAACACAAACCCACTCACTCTCTCGCTCACTCTCACTCGCACTCCCTCAATCAACCGCTCGATCTCTCTTGCTTACTCACTCGCTCACTCGCTCGCTTTGCCGATGCCGATGCCGATGCCCACAACGGCACAAGCTTCGGACCACGCCCACCCCCCTGCTTGCCCTTTTCACACCGCCCTTAGCTCCGCTTCAAAAGACACCAATACTCCCTCCCCTTTTCACACTGCCCTCCCTTCTCTCCTCCACGTGGCCATGTCCACCTTGTCTCGTTGTCCACCTCGGATCCCGCCCTCCTTGGAGCTGGGTTTGTGGCGGGTTTGCACCGTGATGGATTTGAGAATCGTTTCTGAGATTAGATTATTAACATGCTGTGAGATTTGAAGATATGGGTTGTTTGGTTTTTGTTTTTAAAGTGGATGTCCGTGCGAGAAAGAGTAGATGGTGTGCACGTTGCTTTGAGCATGTGTAGTGTGGTGTGACTACTAGGATCAAATCTAATATTGAAGCTTTCTATTGGGAAACTAGTTGAGCATTGCACATTTCAATGTGCTCAAATTGAATTGTGTGGAGTTTTAGTGTTTTAGGTTGTAAGTATGCTCAAAATACAGAGTTGTATTCATACGGTTTGCAGTCCCTGCTGTGGGTAGTTCTTAATTGTGGTTGAATTCACAAATTTTGCACATTTTTTGATCGTCTACAAAAAAAAGAAAAAAGAAAAAAGAAAATTGCAGATGAAATTGATGTAATGTAATGTTCCGATTTTCTTTTGTTTATTAAACTTTAATGAATTTACAATTCTACAAAAAACAAAGCATGTAACGCAAAATTTGGGTTCCTAGAAGTATAAAATTGAATCTATATTGTGCATCATTATTTTTTTTTTCTCAAATGAAAAAACGATATTGTCATAAAAAACTTCATTGAAAGTTCTTTGAATTTTTCAAAATGCAAACAAATAACAAAGTTTCGAATCCTTATTTGATTCCATTTCGATTCAAAAACTAAAAAATATCTATCTTACTTCATGTATCCCACATGTCTAAATAATCATGTTCATATGACATTCCTCTGCATTTTCTAGATGATGTTCAAATTTAAAATATGTTTTGTATTGTTAGTGAACACAGCTGAATTTATTGAACTATAAACATATATATATTGTTACACCAAAGAATAAAAAAATACAAACACTTCCTCTGCTAATGAAAATGGATGGACATAACCTACACAAATTGCATAGCCCTTAAAGTATGTAAAGTATAACTCTTCAATTATATGTGTTTGTGTGTGTGTGTGCATATCTATACACACACATGCATTTTAGTAGCTAATAGTTGAATCTTATATGTACCTCTAATTGATTTGAAACATGTAGACACAAATTAAGACAATCCTAGTTAATTCTGATCATATATAGATCTAGAGTGCTTGCCAGAGCAATTACCATTGTATTCATATTTAATTTATATTAAGTTTATTTGTCTGGGCATTATCTTTTTTCTTCAAAATCTTCAATTATAAATTTTAAAACAGGAAATTACTGAATTTTGGTTAGTTGAAACTTCTAGGTTTACTAATAATATGAAAAGTTGAGGAAAACAATCAAAATCCGTGCATATATGGACATACAAATAAAATTAAATAAAAATATTTAACCTTTTTTACTCTCCAATCCAAACTTGTAGAACATAATAACTAAAAAAATAATTTTTTAAAGAAAATTATTTAATTTCACCTCAACCTGTCCCTTCCAATTCATTACTATCCCATTATTAACATGGTAAAATTTTACTTGTTACATGCATTTGACTTTTTTGTTTTCTATTTTCATGGGACTTTTTGGTAGTTTGGTGATGTATACATGTATTCATATGTATGTGTTATTGCTGAAAACTTTAACATGTCCTGAAAACTAACAAACAAATACATGTGATCAAATAAATACCTTCCATCCTTTTTCTCTCTTTATTCTTATTTTTATACCAATTTGATAAATAAGTACGTATATTACTTTAAAATAGTCAATGAAGAGTTAATTGTTTTAATTGTGTGTATATTTCCAAAAATAAGATATGTTCACAAATGATCTTGTTTTTGTTCACGAACTGATTATTTTCTAGTCGACTCTGACAACTTCCTTTCAACTGTGATTTCATTACGTTCCTAAATAGTGCTATCAATCCATACTTAGTTTAGTTGTTATCATTTATTTATTTATTCGTTCTATTCTTGGGATGTTTGCAAGTTTTTGTCAATACAAAATCCAAACCAAATCATCCACTAATTCTCGTTCATTCATGTCATACATCAAATCTTAAAAGGCCCTTAAAGAATTAGGGAGATGTAGGGAAAGAATGAAATGGATGGTAGAATGCAAGGGAGCTTTTTCTTTCATTTTATTTTGGGACATTGCTAGCATCCATGAAGCAAAATTGGGGATTTCACACATTCTCCAACATGCTATATTTGGGGACTTTAAAGCCATTGAGAGTGGAGCAATTTGTTTCCAACAATTTGGTTGCTTGTGAGTGGGTAATATGTATATATACCAATAAAATAAGTAATGAATTGTGTGATAGGTAGAGCCCTATCTTACTACCTCTCACTCTAACTCTCTCTCCTGCTGGCTGCTTCTCCACCTCTCATTCTTCATGACTTCTATTTTCCTTTATCTATTTTCTTATTCTGGGGGAAATAACTATTCATAACAGGTACAATTTGCATATGTATTCATTGTCCTCCCCCCTCCCCCTTATCCTCTGTTTCACATGAGAATATAGTTTTCAAAATAATAATAATAAATAAATAAATAATCATGAGGAATCTTTCTCAGTCAGTCAATGGTTATTTCAGGATGGACAAAGCAATGCCAACAGCCAAAAAAGAAAGGAAAGATAAAGTTAGACACAAAAAGTAAAGCAAAAGCTGTTCTGGTAGTAGAAAACAACAAGGTGATAGCAAAATATAAAAAATAAGAGAGTAGTGATGAATGAGCTGGTGGATGGATATATGTTAAACGAAGAGTACCCCCCACCCTCCCCCACCCCTTTCTACCCATTTCGGTTGCACAGTCCACATGGGGTTCACATGTTGTGCCTTCTCGTCAACCCGTTTCTCCTTTTTTTTTTCTTCACATTTTTCTTTCTAGCACGAATAAATGAATGCAAAATTAGTATAAACATGGATTAGAGTATCAAATGCAGCCCATTCATCCCACACCCACAACTACCACCTTGCTGTTGCAATTTTCTAATGGAAAAACGACCCAACAGTACTGACACCGTATTGATAAAATCAAACTGGAAATCCTTTACATTTATACAGAAACAACTTTGTCCCTGCCAGGGAGGCTAAAGAGCCACGTCCCTTTTTCTTCTAGGAATCCTACTACTATTAACACAATCTCGGGTTCTAATATTAGTATTATTCCATCACCCATCTCGCTTTTCCTCCTCCTCCTCCAACACTCACTTTTCTCTTCTTTCCACTCTTTTTCTTTTCCGTTCATTCCATGTCTGGGTTAGAAGGGGGAAAGAAATAATGAGGATAAAGAAAAGGAAATGGAGAGGAGAATGAGATGGGGACTGAGTACCACTACTGTACTGGGTGTTGGCAGAGAGAGAGGGAACAGTACACACATGGCAAAAGCTGCCTTAGTAAATTCTTCTAAAAGCACTATATATTAGGCTGACCTACCCTCTTTAAGGCAGCCCATTGCAATGCTCGTTAGATGAAAAGGATGATGGATGAAACTAGGTCGGGAGCGTTCTCCGTTGCTCGTCCATTCATCCCAAGACATCCTACAGTTAACTGGGTCTGCATTGGGTTTCAATGACCAATGTTTAACTTGGCTCTGGGGTGCTCCATGATGGGAGCCATCCTTGGGGACATGTAGTTGGATGGATGGGGTCATTCATCTGTGGTGCTCAAGCTCCAGCTTTTAAGAGGCTCCAAGATTTCCTGGGATGTGAGTGTTAAATGCACCCCCCAATCTACTCGTGAGAGACTTGTGAGAGGGGGTTCCTTCCACCATAAGTTCATAAAAGCATTCAAATTTTAAATGAAAATTCCTTCGTTCTTCATGTGTGCTTGTAAGCCTATTTAAGCCAATCGTCTTGTTAACTTTGGTTGGTATGTTAAATATGTAAAGTGAGTGTTGGGTTTTTACTTCAGGAGGAGAAGCACACACAACAACACAATGCTTGTTTATTTATTGAACAAACATGCATGTAGACATGTCTTTTAAAAATTTGTATTTTAAATTAAATGAAAATAAATAAAAATAAATCTGGTTCATATATATATATTAGTGGAATAGAAATAATTATTCAACACAAACACACATATATTGTGTATTTGATTTTATTTCTTTATTTTTGTGTATATGATTCTTAAACACGTGGTAAAATCAAAATTGCAAAATATGCATATATTTATAAGACCGTGTGTAGTCAAAATTTATTGTTACAGAGATTTGTTCTTTAAGATATCATCACAATGACAAAATTGAGATAAAAGAATGTGATGTGTCTTGCATAATCAACAACACACAAATATAGTTAAAACCTAATGGATGTGGCTCTTGGTATCAACCTTGAATGTTGGGTATCTCTACCTTCTTCATTTACTAAGA